GAACTTCTATGAATTAATTTTTAGAGTTTGTAATTATTCATTGGCAGATATTTAATAAAAATAAAATCCAAAATGAAGAGTATTCGCCTCGTTCGCTTTTATTTATTTATTTAGACATGTTGATTCATTTGTGAATTCACAACAAAAATGAAAATCTTTTTCCGTGTAACGTGGTGAACTAAAACTAAAACTAAAACTGTAGTTTTAAAATTCTAATAAGAAACAAAGGAACAAAAAGTTTTAAAATTTTACCAAGTGGCTCGTGGTGCAGTGGTTTCATCCTCTTGGATCCGAGTTTCGAGATTTAAAAATAAAAAAAAAATTTAGAATTTCGAAATGATAGAAACGCGACAAATCCATCCCTGCTATTACTGCGTTTGACGATCCATACCATACATAAGTCTTCCCAAGAAGATTGGACCTTTATTCCACAAACTCACTTCTTTTTATTTACTTGATTTTCTAAAGTTCAGAATTCAGATCACGTTTAACTGTACGTACGTGTTTTGCTTCCTTTTTTTGCCAAAATGTTCTAAGAAAAATTCTTGAACATTTCCCTTCATTTTTTTTTGTTCCAATATATCTTAAACTTATAATTTTTTTTACGAGTACTTAGATCACTGATGACATCATTATCTCTAGTGGAAACTGGAAACCATTAAATTGCAAATAAACAAAAACCATTGACTTATTGGAGTACGGAATTATTGACTTTCTCCCATTTCGTCATCAATAATGTTAACGATTTAAAATATTTTAATTTCTGATAATTCGTGTGGATACCATAGGAATGGTTAATCCAAAATAAAAAGATTCATTTTTTTTTATTGTTTACAAGATTCATTTTTTTTTTAACAAATTAAGATTCTTTCTAACTAAAGATTCTTTCTAAAAACAAATTATTAATCTATAACAAGTGTTACTACCTCAAAGAATCTTTCAACTATCACTCCCTACAAATTTAAGGAGAAATTCACTTTCCATTAACGAACCTAACTAAACTG